AGCCGAGTTGAAAAGAGATAACGATTCTATTGAAATTGTACGTTCTTTATACGCGCTCCGTTTAGACGTAGAGATAAGGAACGAGTAGTCTATACTTACTACGTCTATGGTACAATTGGTACAATACTTACGAATCGAACGTATAAACTTTTTGGCCTGTCTGTATTCTCAATAATGTGCTCATACGTAGAGGCATGTAGCCGAAACACCAATACACGACAAGCTATCTTTTTTTTTTAAGGAAGAGAAACCTTCGAAAAGGTGCCCACGGTCCCCCGGGGGGGGGGGAGGACCACGGGTTATGTGGGGTTTTTACTCATTAAAATTCTTTCGGGACCTACCCTGGTCTTTTTAGGGGTACTCGGAGAGCAGCCATCAGTATTCATCCCGAGTATCCCTGACCATCCACTGGTCTTCCCGTCAATCCCACTCTCCAAATATTCCTGGAGACACTAATCTCTTGACGGGATTCCTACTGATTTGTGGGAAGGCAGCTGTGACCCGTACAATATCGCATCACTGTATGCAATTCTTGTGAAAGCCAGTGAAATGTTATATTTATTTTCTTGTCTGAAATAATCAGTTTTTTACAGTTTAAAAAGTATCAGTTTCAATGCTAAAGCTATGTCTAAATTCAGTATTGTTGTAATCCATTCAATATTTAATATTCAATATTGTTGTAATCCATTTCTGAAAGACAGACATAAAATCCTAAAAAAGACATAAAGCCTGACCTAAAGCCAGTACAGAACTGGATTAAACCTGGAATGCAAATATGTGACAGTTACAAAAAAACAGTTGGCAAAAGAAGAAAAAGAAGAATCATTACGAAGAAAAAAAACTTTGATAGAGAAGCAAGATGCGTTGGGTAACAAATATTTTTAACTAAATATAACTATTGAATGTTTAAATCAATCTCTTTCATGTGTGGAGAAATCTCTAATTAAAAAAACCGTATTTATAGTTCAAGGTATTTAAAAAGAAAACTTGAAGACATGGCAAACACGATGGCAGAAAAGTTCTTAGGTTAACCATCTTGGGTCCCATTATTTAATAAATATAAGTTTCAACTCACAACTCGGGGGGATTTTGGCATGCTAAAAGATCTCTTAAAATGTTGGAGTGCTGCACTTTGAAGAAATAGAGAGGATGAAAAGCCAAGAAAACCGGGTTAAACGCTCGATGTCTAAGTACATGTACATCAAACCAATAAAAATCGCGTTTTCCTTGCTCGCATATGTATAATTCAAAATCCACTTAACTATCGGACAACGTTGCCATGTAGTGGCGACTTCGGTACTATGATGGAGTCGGACAAAATTTAAAAAATTCAGAAAAAGGCTATTTTTGGCCGAAATAATGACTTTACGCCTATTTTGACGAAAGTTTGGAGTTTCTAAGGAGTTTTTAAAATGGCCTCTCGGAACTGTTGGTAACATTTTTGAAAATTTTAAAAATTTTGAAAATTTTTTGGAACCCGAATGACTGCCGTTCTATAGGTCGGATTTCGACGGCTTAGGGTGCGATCGACACGGGAGGTTGAATAAACAAGGCAATTTATGTCATTTTAGCCTATCTGATATTATTCCCTATAATCCCTATAAGGTTCTACATAGGATTATTGCATTTTTTGGTACATCTCAGTCCAATCTGATGCAAAAGAGCCGATATCTGGTTAAAAAAAAATTAATTTTCAATTTTTTGAAATTTTGTTTTAAGTCGTAATTTCGAAACTTTGATGCGTCGGGGAGAGCTAAAGATATTATCCGATCGGATTGCACTTTTACACACGTCATATGGATGCCAAAAGGCAACTTTTCCGCACTATTAGAATTGCGAACTCGAAAAATCGGGTTTTTCAGCTCACCCTTAGTACAGATATAATATTAAAAATGTAAGTTTACCTTTAATCGGCGATACCAGGACCATACAGCAAACCTTCTTCTATCTCAAAATGTTTATTTTGTTCCGATAATTGCAATCTACGAGCACTACGAGCCTTCTTTGATGCTTCAGATGCTCGTCGCTCAGATCGTTCAATGCGTTCTTCGTCCCGTATATCAGCAAACATTCTCGCTTTAGGTCCAATTTTTACTTCCATCAATGTTAACATCTCCAAAAGTGGGTGGAAGCCTTCATTGAAAATACAAGTTGCCAAATATGTTGCAATTTCAATGGTTTTTGCAGCACAAAAAATATGTGTTTTGGTGTAAATGTCCATATTAAAGAATTAAAGCTTTTATTATTGTTTTGAGTGTGAGCATCTTCACATCTCTCGAGGAAATCATCTCGTGATAAATCTGTATATATAGATTTTTAAATATTTTGTACTTCTGGATAAAGAGGAGCATCATGAATAAAATCTAACAAGTTTTTTTGTTCTTTAGCTTGCTGTCACTTACACTATGTCGGAGAACAACACGAATGCTGTGTCGTCCGTCGAAATTTTATGATAAAAAATTGCCAAAATTTTTTTTTTATTTCTTCCTCCGAGAATGCTTTTGAATTGCCAAACCATAATATTTTGTTAAATCAGTTATTAATTTATTTGTTAATTTTGCTTTTCCTCCAATAATATTTTATAATACGCGATTTCATTACTAATCTTTGAGTAACCCCATTTGGAAGTTTCAATTCAACTTTAATTTATAACTTTTAGAGAATGCTTTCTCCGACATAAATATGTCCAATACTTTTGTGCCTACTGCCTTCTGTTTTTTTTAATTGCTACATGTATGATAAATAAATCCGACCTCGCACAATCTGTTTTTGCTTAGCGGCCCCTTTTCACTCTTCCGGCATCAGTTCTGTACGTCAACCTGGAAGAGGAAGAGTAATTTGCTGTGCATTCCAGAAAATAAACAAGTAATGCTCTAGAGCAGCGCTCAGAATTAGTTGCACATCTCGGGCCGATTCCCGAGACGACACCTCCTGTTTCTCCACTACCGTCCGGCCGCTGGCGATCGAGCCGCCGATAGCTCTGGCTCAGGAACGTTTTATATTAGAAATAGGCTGGGTTGTTTAGGCATCTCTCAGGAAATCGTAACATTTTCTTTGCTACATCTTTCGTGCTGTCTTTCTTAATAGCTGCTTTTTGTCGTTGTCCCTTTTCTTTTATACGATCGTAAATCTCGAAGCATCTTCTTCATCTTCTTCATTTTGCATATCGTTCTAGCACTATACAGTACTGTCTTATTACAATCATCATCTTGTATGCCATCGATTATATATTAAATGAGAACGTTTTCTTTAACATAACTTTGATCGGTGATCTCTTGCATAGCGTAAATATACTGTCTACTGCTTTCGGTCGGTTCTCGTCTTTGTTGTATAACTGACTGTGTATTATCGCACTGCTTAATTCGATTTTAAATTCTCTTTTTAGGCGTTCTCTTGTTTGAGAATATTCCAGGATGTGATCTCCTTTTCGAATGATATGAATCGTCTTGCCGATCCTTTTAGCATACGCTTGCCATACACTAATTTTTGCAGGTTATTCCACTTAAGTAAAGCGCTCATGTCTTTGAACTCTGAGATCCAACTTTCAATCGATAATTTATTATCGCCTGTAAAATATGACAAACTGCCCTCTACATCTTTGATTGTGAAGTTATTCCCTAGTGACTCTCACTCGTCACCAGTAGAGTCCCTATATATAGAGTCTGGCCACTCGATTAGTTTTGGAAAAACATGGCGGCGGTATATGCATAGACGCATCTTGTGTTTACCATATTTATAGAATAAAACTTTCATTGACTACACCTTATTCGACTACAAATTGATAGTATTAATAAAAGCAGAGTGAAGCCTATAAAAGTAAGTACAATTATTTGGTATATGGTTTCTAAAATAAAATATTTAAGAATAATGATATTATAAAGAAGTAGAATTTATCATAAAAATTGTAATTCTAACCTCACATTGTTTTTAATAGTTTTATTTACAATGTTTTATTTAAATTAAGTTTTATTTAAATAAGTTTTATTTATTATTGTGATACAAACATTATTGTGATACTAAATATATAAGTAATAATAATATATACTGTAATGATATGATTTTAAGTATTATTAGTTAATTTTTCTTTATTTTTAATTAAAAATTTCTAGAAAAGAATAATATTAATTGTTATTAATTTTCTTGTTCTATTTCTTTTCAAATTATTATACTTTCTATAAGAATTCCTATTGGTTCCGCCATGTTTTTCCAAATTTTGTTTCGACCAATAAAAATAAACACAAGCGTGGCCAGACTCTATATATAGGGACTCTAGTCACCAGTATCATGCCTGTTAATTTGCCTTAATTTTTATCATGTCTTCGTCGAATGGGAATATCGTTATCTGAGAATGCGTCATCGTCGTATCGGCGCGGCTGTCGCGTCATCCTTTCGCGTTTCATTCGCGGATGTCGTTCCTTTGTGGCATCTAATTGGATGCGGTGGTCTCGTCGCGTCTTATTGGCTGACGCCCTTTTGCATACATTTCGTTTCGTTTGCTCGTCTGATTTGCTTTCGTAACTTTCGTCGCTTGTCGCGTTTTCATCACTTGTCGTGTCATTATCACTTATATTCTCGTCATTCACTATGTCTCTGTAGCTCGCCGTATCTTCGTCGTTCATCTGTCTCGTTGCTTTACTCGCTTGACTACCATGGGCACGAACGTTTTGCAATTTCATCTTTAATTAAGTCTTATTGCCGGTAGTTGACTGACCCAGTTTCAGTAATTCATATTTGAAGTGAATTATCTTCATTTTATATTTACGAGGGCAGTCTGAAAAGTTCGCGGAGTGACATCTGTAAGTCAATAGTAAAGTTTTAAATTTTAATTGGTAGTACAACTTTACTCTTTATATGAACCCATGTGAAGTGCGAAATCCATCTGTCAATTAATTCTTTACTTACAAGCCATTCAAAATTGACGTGTCAATGTATTTTTTTAAATGGAAAATCTTAAACATCGTGCTGTAATAGAATTTTTTGCTAAGAAAAGTTTAAAGGCAATGGAAATTCGTACTGAAATGGTAAATGTGTTAGAAGAATCTGCTCCTTTAAAAACAATGATTTGCAAGTGGGCACTTGAGTTTCAACGTGGTCTCAAGTATCGAAGACGATCCCCGCAGTGGATCCCCCCGCAGTGGAGCCCAAAAAGTGTTACAACACCGGAAATCATTCAACAAATTTATGACATGGTATTGGATGACCGGCGAATAAAAGTGCGTGAGATTGTTGAGGCCATGGGCACCTCAAAAGAACGTGTAGGTTATATTTTACACGAAGAATTGCGTATGAAAAAGCTTAGCGCAAGATGCGTGCCGCATCTGCTAAGAATTGATGAGAAACGGAATCGAATACAATGGGAAAAATCAACGAATTAAAAATATAAATTGTTGGAACATCCACCCTATTCACCAGATTTAGCTCCTTCCGACTTCCATCTGTTTCCAAAACTAAAAAACTTCCTCGCTGGTAAACGTTTTTCATCTAATAAAGAAGTGATTGCAACCATAGACGAGTATTTTGCAGACCTTCCGCAAAGTCATTTCAAAGATGGGATACATTTATTAGAGAAGCGCTGGACTAAGTGTATTAAAGTTAAAAAAGATTATGTTGAAAAATAAAGCCATTTCTAGAACTATAACTTGAACTATAACTGTTTTTTTCATTTCCGCTCCGCGAACTTTTCAGACTGCCCTCATAGAGCGATCCCTTCATTTCTTCGCATATGTCTCGATTTCCGTCGCGCTGCTATTTCGGTCGGGCTATCTTCCTGTCTTGCGTCATCTTCATCGTTATGCTGCAACCCGTGTTCGGACATCTTTGCCTTTGCAACTGTTCAACTTTTTGATTTGCTATCGACAATTGGACGGCAACACTCACAATCTCGCGATTCCCACAATTGTTCAACTTGACTACTTTACTTCGCGGATTCGAAATCAGCAAGGTTATGTACACGTGTCGATCCGGCTTACTTTGTATAATTTGCAGATAACTGTTCCGCCGATCCCGGCTGAGCCCCCAAAAAGTTCTGTAGGATCATTGACGGAAACGCTATCGTACACTTAAAGAACAACTTTATTAGTTGTTCAAGTTATTTTAAATTTAAAAAGTAAAATAAACACAAAATCACATAAGGCGGTTACACGTTTTTTTTTACCGCGGGATCTTACGAGAAATTACTATTAAAAACAACTAACTTGTCGCTATATAAATCGTCGCTAGGCGCGGTCGCACAGCACCTACTGCGCACGGTAAACGGATTTCCGATTCCTACATAAATAACTTTGCAAATTTAGTCTTGTTACATATCAAATAATAGTCTATGAAATTATAAAGAAAACCTTTTTTGTCTCATTAAAATATTTTCTTTAGACTCTTGTTAACCAAATTATTCATATTTTTGAAAACATTAATTTCTCAAAAATAGGAAACTATAACAGATAAAAATTCCAAAATTGAGATTTGTAGTCAGCTTTGGTGGTCTGTTCAGAATTGTGAGAGAAATGAATATTCGACAACCTTCGATCAAATATTATTTCACAATAAAATTATTTGACATGGAATAACCTGCACGTAAATATAGATGCATTGTGAAAATGTTTTCAATATTGAAAACACAATACCCAAATACCTTATACTTAGGAAATTTTGTATAAACCACATAAATCTTTCTCAACAACTTCGTGGAACAGATTTTTATTAACATTAAATGGTGTTATGTAGTAGAATTTCCTTGTGAATTATAATTATAATCACTTTGTTTTTTTATGTCTTAATGACTGATCTTGAATACATCTTGAATATTATAAAATATTTTATTTTAAATATATTAAAATCACATTAAAAATGGTTATTACTTTAAGGGATAAAAAATATAGCATTTTATTTAAAAAAATCAAATTGACTTTGAAATCTCTTTAACACTTCCACTTATGAAAAAGTCGTTTTCATCATATAATGTCCCTCTTACAAGGAAAGGGACCCAAGTGTCCCCCTCCGATTTTGACGAGCTTTAAATATGTTGTAAAGTAGCTCAAAATAAAAGACACGTTATTTTTTTATGTGCTTTTTCGCACGTTTAGGGTTGAAACAACCCCTACAAGCTAAAACGGTTTTTTGGTTTTGACTGAATATCGTCAAAACTGTAAGAGATATCAAAAAATGTTTCGAATAAAAGTTGCATGGTCTTTTATGAGCTTTATAACCGCGTAGCTCGATTTTTAAAAAATTTTATATTTTTTAATTTACCCTCACCCCTTCTTATTATTTTTACAAATTTCAAAAGTTTTGTTATGACAAAAGTTGTAGCATTTTTTACGCTGAATACAACCATATATGATTTTATTATA